TTTCAGTGTTCACGTCTGTGGCTTCACGTGCGTCTGCGCCGCTGTGAATGGCTTTGTGCGGATCCGTGTGTGTCGTCTACATACCCGCGTAGGGGTCCCGCTCACCCCCAGCGCCTCCCCAGCCTCCCACCTCTCCGCCCCCACACTCCGGCGCCGTCTTCTCCCAGAACCTCGCCCGCTCTTCCCTGGGGTCCTCCTCACACCCACAAGCCCCAGCCTCCCGGTCCCGCCTTCCCACGCCCCGCCCGTCGCCGTGGGCCCTGCCCCGTCTCCATTTCCACAGACGCCGTCTCACCTCGGCAGGACCCTCCCTCATCTCCCCGGGCTGCGCACCCCCGTTCCCGCTCAGGCAGCTACCGGTGAAGGCCCCACAGCCTCTCCCGGTCCCCGCCCCGTCTCCTCTCCCGTCTCTCCTCACCTCGCCCACCCGTTCTCCTCGGGTCCCTCCTCTAACCTNCAGAGGGCGTCCGGGGTGGGGGGAGGGAGAGGGCCTGTGGGGCCGCAGCGGCAGGGTGGAGGCGGGTTAGACTACGAGAAGGACCGGAACAAGCAGAAAGAAAACTCCCCATTCCTCCTGCGTCTTGGGTGTGAAGGACGCGGCTGGGATGGTGATACAGCCGCCCCCCAGTCCCAGCCTCCAACCCAAGGTCTCAGCACCTCGAGACAAGACCGCAAGCCAGACAGAGATGTGAAGAGGGACAGAGGGCCCGTGACTGAAATGTCGCCTGAGTCAGAGCGCTAGATGCTGGGGACAGGGAGCCAGAGATGAACAGGGCCACAGAACGGAGAGCAGCCGCCGCCGCGCGCCGTGCCGTCCACCGTGCGGTAGGGGAGGCGCACGGTGCCGCGGGCGCCCGAGCTGCGCACGACGCGCACGTCCACGGTGCCCATGCACTCGCTCACGTGCAGCAGGCGGTCCTGGAAGGAGAAGATGCCCGCGTGGTCGTCGTCCAGGATGGTGACGGTGGCCAGCAGCGGCGCCACCAGACGCCCCTTGGGCCGCCCGCTGCCGTCGGGCTCAAACATGCCCTGCGCGTCGCCCACACGCAGGTTCAGCAGCCGCACGAAGAAGTGCTCGTCCTCCTCGAAGATGTCGTCGTCGATGATGCCGATGCGCAGCTCCTTCTGTGTCTCCCCTGGCTTGAACACCAGCGTGCCCTCGCTGTGGCAAGGGAAGGGGAAGAAAACAGGATGAGGGTCGGCCAACGTTTGCCGTCGGGGAGTCAGGACGGGCTTCCCAGAGGAGGGACCGGTGCCACAGGAGAGCTCACGAGTATGGAGGTGGATAGGCAGTAAACAGGTAGTACTGAGGGTACATCAGGGTGGGCTTTCTGGAGGAGGGGATGCAGAGCCAGGAGCAAGACAGAGTTGGCCTTTCCCACCATGGAACTCAAGAGGACTAGAAGGGTGGACAATGAACAGATAACGAAGAAGGTGAGATCAGGGCAGGTTTCCTGGGGGAGGCAACCTAACACAGAAGGAGACAGCGGGCAGGCATGCTCCAGGCAGAGGGAACAGCACATGCAACGTTTCAGAGTTGAGAGGGAGCCTGGAGTGTTCCACAGCCCTGCTTCTCACACCTTAACGTGCACATGTATCCCCTGGTGTCTCTATTTATTTATTTATTTATTTATTTGTTTGTTTGTCTTTTTCGTGACCGGTAAGGGGATTGCAACTCTTGGTGTGGTGTCGCCCACACCGCGCTCAGCCAGTGAGCGCACCAGCCATTCCTATATAGGATCCGAACCCGTGGCGGGAGCGTCGCTGCGCTCCCAGCGCCGCACTCTCCCGAGTGCGCCGCGGGCTTGGCCCCCTGGTGTATCTTTTAAAATGCAGATTCTGATTCAGAAGCTCCTGGGTTTCTAGATTCTACATTTCTCACTAGCTCCAGGATATGTGGATGGTCCTGGTATGGAGTCTACACTTTGAGTAGTGGGGATATAAGGACTTCGGAATGGATGTTGTCACTCCTCTGATTAAAAACCCTTCTGTGCTCCCAGGTGGCCCCAAGAGAAAATCCACACTACTTAACTTGGCATCATTCATTCACTCAACAAACACTCCTCAAGCATCTGTTCTATGCCCTGTGCTAAGCAGTGCTGGGAACACAGCAGTGACCAGGGCCTGTCCTCAAGGGGTTCACAGGCCCATTGGGAGAGCCATATCACAGCAACAATTACACATTCAATGATTTAATTACAGTTCATTCATTCAACAAATACTGACTGAGCGCCTGCTGTGTGCCAGGTCCCGTTTTAAGTGCTGGGGACAAAGCAACAAAACCAGGTCAGACAAAAATCCCTGCCCTGTGGTGGAGCTTCTGTTTTAGGGCAGGAGATTGTGTATGTGTGCAGGAGATTGGATAATAAGAAAACACATAATGTCAGGTGATGATGGTGCTATGGAGAAAAACAGAGTGAAGAAGTTAGGGAGTGAGAAGAGGGAGCTACATTAGGGTGGTCAGGGAAAGCCTTCTGGGAGGCGACATTTCAGCAGAGACCTGAAGGAGGTGAGGGAGAAGCCATGTGCAGGGTATCTGGGAAAGAGTACTTCTGGTAAAGGGAATAGGCAATGCAAATGTCCTGAGGCAGGAGCCGACCTAGAGTGTCCAAGGAACAGCAAGGAGGCCAGTGTGGCTGCAGCAGTGGGAGCAAGGGAGAGGGGTGGGAGATGACATCACAGGAGGAACAGGGACAGATCTCATAGGGCCTTGGTGGGCCATGGGAGGACTTCCAAGTTTACTCTGAGTGAGATGGGAGCCATGGGAGCTTCTGAGCAGAGGGGGGATGTGAGCTGGCTGTGAGGGATGTTAAAAAAGCGATAGTGGTGTAAGTCTCTGAAGCTCCTACAAAATGCTCTGTAATGGAGGGGTGGGGAAGGGAACGAGGCAGTGACATTAGATTAGTCAGGGGGAACTTTTGAGGGGACAGGGAATAAGTGAGCTTCTCCTGGCAGGGCTGAAGACATCAGCATGATTCTGAGATGTTAATGAATCATGAAAATCTGTCATTTCCCCTCAGTCCCTCCCACCATGCACGTAAGGGGCTCAGCACCATTTATGAAATATGCTATATGAGCAATACGTGTTCACTGTCTTTACTATTATTTTCATAATAAAGGGGTCTTGGGCTCCAGTTCTCCAAGAGAAGCCCAGCTCTTTGGGAGGGACCCCAAGGTTCTGGCAAAGAGGTAGGGGCTGTAGAACCAGGTAACAAGACCTGGAGTGGAAAGACAAGGGGCTCATTGCTGCAGCCCCCTGCTTGGGAGACACTGTCCATGGTGGCCAAGCACCCAGCAGTGTGGCCAGACCTGCTGCAAGCCCAACTTGGTTGCCATGCCAGCTGTGTGATCTCAGGCAGTTAGTATTCTGCAGTGCTCTGAGCCTCGATTTCCTTATCTGTAAAATGGGGCTAATAATAGTGTCTACCTCATGGCATTGTGGTGAGGATTGAGTTAATTACAAGGGAAGCACTTGGAGGCACAGCAGAAGCACTCAATGCAAGTTAGCATATTAATGTTAGAATCTTAGAATCTTAAGGTCACAGGATGTTAGAAACTTAAACTTAAGGGATAGTAGAATGTGAGGATTTTAGCGTTGTCTTTGCCAAACAAGTAAGCCAAAGATTTAGCACCATCTTTACCAGACAATTAAACTGGACATCACCAGCAATGAATGAGTGGACATCGTGTGCCTCCTGACACAATGCACAGAGGAGGATACAGCATCATTTCTGTGGGATTCCTGCCCAAAGTGCCACAACTTGAGTCTAATCATCAGGAAACATTAACATACCCAAATTGAGGGTCATTCTAGAAACTGGCCTATCATTTTCAAAAGAATCAGGGTCACAAAAATCATGGGAAGGCTGAGAAACTGACCCAGACTGAAGGAGACTAGAGAGACATGACCACAAAATGCAACATGAGGTTCTGGATTGAATGGGAAGAGAGAGGAGTGAAAACACAGCCATAGGACTGGCCCGTGGCTCAATCGGGAGAGTGTGGTGCTGATAACACCAAGACCATGGGTTCGGATCCCATATAGGGATGGCTGGTTCACTCACTTGGGTGAGCGTGGTGCTGACAACACCAAGTCAAGGGTTAAGATCCCCTTACCAGTCATCTTAAAAAAAAAAAAAAGGAAAACCCAGCCATAAAGGATGGCTTTATACAGGCACAGCTGGGGAAATGCAAACATGGACTGTAGATTGGTTAATAATATTGATCTAGTGTTAAATTTCAAGTGTGATCATTGCATTGTGATTATGTATGAGAACGTCATTATTTTTAAGAAATGTATCCTCAAATATTTAGGGGTGAAGGGTCATGGTGTCTGCAACTCACTCTCATAGAGACCACAATTATTAATATTATTATATTTAAAAAGAGAGTGAAAGCAAACAGGACAAAATGTGAACGACAGGTGAATCTGGGTGGAGTTTATATGAGGGTTCATCAAACTGTTCTTGCCGCCCTTCTGTAGGTGTGAAATTTCTCAAAATAAAAAATTGGAGAGAGGGGCCAGCCCATGGCTCACTCGGGAGAGTGCGGTGCTGATAACACCAAGGCCACAGGTTCGGATCCCATATAGGGATGGCCGGTTAACTCACTGGGTGAGCGTGGTGCTGACAACACCAAGTCAAAGGTTAAGATCCACTTACCAGTCATTTAAAAAAAAAATAGAGAAAAATAATATGGGGATTTTAAAAGCCAAGTATCACAATTATAGAAGGCTACATTCACAGAACTGATTATCCAACACTGGACACACAGAATCTGAGAAGATGAAATCTTAGAACCATCAAATCAGACCAGTTGGGTTACAGATTAGAATTCCAAAATGTTGGAATCCTGGAATCTAAGAACGTTAGACCCTTAGTGTGTTAGGATTATAGAGGCCTAAATCTTAGAATCTTGGAAAAACTGTGCTGTTTGGGGGCCTCAGAGATCATGTTTAATTTGGAAAAGTGAGGCCCACAAGACCTCTGTAGTCCATGTGATAACTGGCCAAATCAGAAAAAGGCTTCCCTTCTTCAAGACACTTATTTCCATGAGTCAGGAAATTGTCATAATAAACACATGAATCTACAATATCCACTATGAATAGAGCTCTCTCAGATATGGTGCTCTTGAAGAGTGCACAACCTCAACAACTGTACATGGCAGCCCTGCATGCCCAGACTGAGGCAGGGACTTGCCCAAGGAACAAAGTCCAGGGCTAAGTTTGGACTGGAACCCAGGTATCCTCCCTTTCAGTCCTGGACATATATTGCTTTGATGTCAGGACTTGAATGTCAACTGGGATGGGAAAGGATGGGTAGGAAGGTGTCGACTTTTCCTGGCTCTTTGGTTCCACCACTGAGCAGCATTTACTCCTTCACTTCAAACATCTAAATCCTGAGGTCATTTGCAGATGAGAAAGTGGCCTCTTATCCCAGCAGGTGACAGCTATACTCACTTGTTTCTGCAAAGGCTCAGGGCTTTAGATGGGGGCAATGTGGATGAGGGTTGTGGGTATGAGTAGAATAATGAATCCCCAATATGGTGAATGCAGTTTCCTCAACCAAGGGAAACTGGGAGATGTTGGACAGTGGGGGAGGATGGAAGGAGGAGATCACAGGTGGACAAGGGGATTCCATGCAACAAAGACCTTGAACAGTTGTGTCCACTTAGGGAAAGGCTGGGGTGGGGCAGGGCAGGAGAGGTATATAAAGATGGGTGGACAAAAGGATCCTGGACTGAGGTGGAGGGAAAGACCTGCATTTGTCTGGAGTAGTGGGAAGCTGTGAACTGACAAAGGCAGGGGGGGAAGCGGGGCTACCAAAGGTGTTTGCTGAGGCACAGTGGTGGGACTGAAGGTCTGTGAAATGGAGAATTCAGCCCCAGAAAGGAAGGGGTTAAAGGGGAGAGGGACTGGCTGCTGTTTGATGGCAGAACCAAAGGTCTGTGAACAGTTCAGCCTCAGCGCTACCCCAGGGAGAGGATCAAAGGGGGATGTGTCAGGCCGCCCCGTGGCTCACTCGGGAGAGTGCGGTGCTCGTAGCGCCAAGGCCCCAGGTTCGGATCCTATATAGGGATGGCCGGTGCGCTCACTGGCTGAGCGTGGTGCGGACTTACCAGTGGGGGGGGGGGGGGGGGGGGGGGGAGAAAAAGGGGGATGTGTCAGGCTACTTAGCAGGTGAAACCTGTGAAAAGCTCGGCCACTGACATTCTTTCTTCCTGTACTCTGCTTTATTTTTCTTCACAGCTCTTACCATTACCTGACATTTTTATGTAATCCATGTTTACTGCCTAATGGTCTCTTTCCCAGGAGACTGTCAGCTTCATTTGGGCAGGGACATTATGTGTTTTGTTCACTGCTAGTCATATTTGCCAGATCCGTTTCTGGCACAAAGTAGATACATGATAAATATTATTATGGGAAACAGGAGACATGTACATCAATTAACAAGACATATTTTAAAGCTATAAGTCTTAAAAGAGTGTGGTATGGAAAGGAAAACTTCAAATAGATGAATTTTGTGGGCTATGTGAGAACAGAGATCTCATCTATCTTATTTATTATTCTATGTTGAGCCCCTAAAAAAACATCTGGCAGACAATAGGTGCTCAGTGGATATTGTTGACTGCGGGAATATCACAGGTCTGCTCAAAAAGGGGTAAGGAGAGGGACTGAGGAAGTGAAACAAGATAGAGGGAAAAGGGTGGGTTGCTTTACGGGGTAACCAAAGACCTGTGAACACTTTAGCATTGTCTCTCTCCTCTTATCCTACCTATTTTCCTGCATAGCACTTATCACCACTTCATGTTTATATGTCTTGCAGTTTATATCTTCTTTGCAACTTCCGGGCAGGGGACTTTAGCTCTTGTTCACTATGGTATACTCACTGGCATATAACAGGTGCTCAATAAACATCTCTACTTCAGTAATGGTGGTAGTGGTGGGGAGCTTGTTCTGCCAGGTAGCAATGCATATAATAGAGTTATAATAATTGAAACTGTAGCATCAGCACAGACAGACAAAGAATTGGGACGGGCAGCATGAAAACTGAGAGTTTGTCTGTCTAATACATCACGTGTAGCAGATGCCTGGGACAGTGCCTGTCACAAAGGAGGTGCCCCCTAAATGTTAATACTATCATGAATGTGTGGGGTGAGGGGAAAGCCATTTTACCAGGCAACAAAACACAGACAAAGCTGTAAAAATGAAAACAGCATGGTTTTGAACTAGTGCTATGGATAAGTTATGACTATTGGAGGGAAAATTTGAGGTAAGCAATTTTATATGTCATGTTTGTTCCCCATTATATACACACCTAGAATAGTCTCTGGCACAGAGTTGGGTGCTCAGTACATATTTTTTGCTCTTAATAATGGCAGAGGGCAGACTTGATCAACCCGGTAGTAAAACATATGTTAAAGTTATAATAGCTAAAACCGTGTGGTTTTGATACAAGAAGCAGTGAATGATACTGGATGCAGTGTGAGGGCAGGAACCTTATCTGCCTTCAAATCTAGTACATGTTGGGTGCTCAGTAAATGTTTTTACTATGAGCGTGTGTGTGTGTGGGGGAGGGCCGTTATCTTCCCAGGTAACAAGATATAAAATAAAACTGTACTAATTAAGACAGCATAGTTCTGGAACAAGAGGTACAATAATTTATGAATATTGGAGGGAAAATTTAAGGGTTGTGATATTGTCTTGCTATTACATACCAAATACCTGGAATGGTGTCTGGCTCATACTAAGTGCTCGATAAATGTCATTTATTACCAGAATATGGGAGGACACTTGTCCTGCAGGTAACAAAGCATGTGATGAAGCTGTAGTTATTAAAGGGGCACGGTTCTGGCACAAGGGCTATGAATAACTCATGCATGTTGGAGGGGCCGCATGAACCCAGCACATTGTCTGTCTTGGGCACCACCATAAACCCATCACCTAGGACAGTGATTGGCTCACAGTCCACACACCACGTATCTACTCAGCAACAGGAAGAGGCTTGTTCCACCAGGTAACAAAGCTTTCACTAGAGCTGTAATAATTTACACACTATGGTGTCAAGCACAAGAAGCCACAGGTAGGGAGGAGCAGTCTGCAGACAGCCATGCTGTCTGTCTTTTCCAGCGCTGCGTGCCAAATGTCTAGGACAGTGTCGGGGACAAAGTAGGCTCTCAATAACGAATGAAAGAATGGCTGAACAGCGCAGGTCTGCCCATAGCAGGGTAAGAAGGAGCACTGGAGGTAACTGGGAGGCGAAGAGCCTGCAGGCTGCTGGATGGTGGAACCCAGGAGTGCGAACAGCCACCCCTCCCTGTCCACCCACCCAAGGCAGGTCGGGGAGCCCCGCCTGGGACGCACCTGTACTCATAGTCGGAGCCGGCCTTAGCGGAGCCGTCCTCGGTACGGTAGTCCACGTAGAAGGTGCTGTTGCCCTCGCCACCTTGGCAGGTGACGGACAGCAGCACCGAGCCACAGTTCTCCAGGCAGTGGTAGAGACTGGGCTCGAAGAAGATGCGGCTGGCGCCGTCGTCCTCGTCCTCCCCGGGGCCCTCGGACGGCGCGGCCCTGCGCGAGGCGTCCACCGCGTGTCGCCGCAGCACGTTGCCAGCGCCGGTCATCAGCCGCGTGGCCTGGATGCGGTAGAAGGCGCGGCTCTTCTGCTGGTGCAGCAGCGCGTAGTAGTTGGCGATGCCCACCAGCTGCTCCAGGTCCTTGTCTGGGTGCTTCTGCTTGAGGTCCTTGAGGATCTGGATGACCTCGCGGCGGCTGGCGTCCAGCTCGCGGGCCTCCGCCGGGCCCGGGCCCAGGCCGCCCAGCTCGCCCGGCGCCTCGGC